CCTTCTCGAGCCGTTATGTCCTTCGAGGTAGTCGATATAGATCACACTTTCTGAATCCTAGAAAACGTTGGCTGCCATCTTTCCGGCTGGTTTCTCGGATAAAGTTCACTATTTCGAGTGTTTCTGGCTCTCTGCTTTGAATCAAGTGTACCCACTGTGGACTTTTGTCACATTATCCTCAGTGGTAGTCGTTTTCGAGGCACCTGGTCGTCGTTCTACAGGAGAAAAGAAACCGTACTCAGCATCCAAGCGCTCTTTGACTTCAAAAATATGTGGATTCCACAAGATGTTAAAAAAAATTACGAATCTGATTCGGAAAAGCTTTTGAGTGTTGTCTATAAGAGTGTACTACTTGTGTATAATTAAAAACTTAAGGGATCAACATCACCAAAGTTGAACTCAACGAAATTTTGACTTGAATATATGAAGCTTGTGACTTCATTTAAATTTTGGTTAGAAGAGAAAAATCCTGCCGACCTATAAAACTTAATTTTGTAAAACGATAGTCAATTATTAGTTTTGTAGGAGTTAATTTAAGTTTGACCTCGAATATCTCCTAAGTGGTCGAAATAGAAATCTGCGATGTATGACCTCTTAATATTAATATTAAGGGCTCTGATTTTTACAGGCGTCTTTATACATATCCACGAAAGTTTTTACGTGAGGATTTCGAAAAAAAAATTTAATTTTTAAATTAATGAAACAGTGTTCGAAAATGGTCGTGTTGGCATCAGAGAGCGAGCAGAGGATCTCAATATCTCTCATGGACCGACTCAACACATTTTGCTTAATGTTTTGGGTATGAAGCGTGCCAAAGCCAGACTCGTACCAAAAGATCTGCATCTTTTACAAAGACAACGTCGAGTAGAGTTTGCAAAAAGAGAAACTTGACAACATAGCTGAGAACCCTACATTCATATCCAACACAGCATTACCGGTGACGAGACGTGGGTCATAGAATCTGACGTCGAAAGTGTCCAGCAAACTAGCAAATGGCGCTCCAAAAATGAACCGAAATCAATAAAACCACGCAAAAGTCGGTCAAAAATTAGGCGATGCTCGTTTTTTTTTTATTATTAACCGTGGTGTGGTTCAATACGGATTCGTTCCACAGGTTCAAACGCTCATTTAGTAATACTACTTTCACATTTTGAGGTTTCTATGACTGCACTTGTGAGCATAAAATTCATGGATTTTTCACAACGATAATGCGCCGTCATATTCCGGCATGATATTGGCTAACTTTTAAGCCAAACACGAAATGAGAATCAGCCATCGTATTTGCCAGTTTTGGCTCCCTGGCTTTTCTCAGTCACTTTTAATCAGATAATATAATGAGTATGGAATCGAAGTAAATTTATTAGTTCTTAACCCATACTAATAAGGTGACCATCACAGCCTAGGATTTGACGCGTACTTGGTGATTTGAAATTCCGGTACTACAAAATAACAATCGCCTCAAGCAGACAATACAAAACAACCAAAAACCGTTCGGGAATGGCTTACATGTACTTGAACCTCTAACATATGTAATAGTCAATCGCGTTCGTATACAAACTTTCCTGCAAGTTTAGCTTTCAATACACTTCATTTTCACTACTTTGTATTATTGTATATTAAAGTGCAGTACATGACTTCAACAAAAGTTTATGTTCAACAAACATTTTAGTTGAAAGTGTCTTTAACACTCTTAAACTATGACTAATACCTACAATATTTCATATATAACATTTATGAAGTACACACTTTACATGTAAAATGCCTCCAGTTCGTTTACAACAATTAATTTAACACGCAAAGAAAATTTCTTCAAACGCCACTCATGCGCATGCGCAAAAGTATTTCAAGCGCACGCAAACTCTTCAAGCTCATTGCACGTAGAAATTCATGCGAACAAATACGATCTAAACTAGTGCCGTGAGCTGGTGTCTGTCCGCGTGTAATTTTTAGTATAGCAACACCTGACTTTATATATATTATATATATATGTATGTGCTTAGTTATGGCTATGAAAACAAAATTATAACGGTTTTTAATTCAATTTCACCTACTGGACTAGTGCACCAAATGTGCAATTCAGCATTTATCACTGATATATGACTTCGAGACATTCATCAAGATGTGTTTTAATTGAGTTGATTCTTTAGCAAATTAAATTCAGTCGCCGAAATTTATGTGCCCTAAAAACCAGTCAAGAAAATTGATATGAGCTTGCAATATCAACAGATTACTAAAATCTTGGCTAGCCAAAATAATTATGAGGCCATACTAGTATCAACAAGCTAGCTTGTAATCGTAACCAACCACTTCCACGCAACTATTCGTTGAATTGTCTTACTTAGATATTTGGGTTTAGGCCTACTGTAGGCAGCTTTCTTTCCTTGAAAAAGTCTATTATATTTTTATTTTACCGGAATTGAGACTGAACCGGTTATGTCTAATACAAGAGCATGCATCTAGAACTTCATCTTTTCGTACAATATACTCGAAAGAAACACAACTTCGATATGATTCTACACATCTCCTTCTAAAGGACTTCATTAAGGTCTTGAAATCTTCTGTAGATCGTCACAACCTTTAATTAATTACATTTTCGCACCCACTTATTTGGAGCGTTCTTTTTGCGATCTAAAAATATAGTTGCCGTATCTCGTTGACGGTCTTTAGAGTTAACTGTCATCTCGATCGTCGAAGGATCATGTAGACAGTATTATTTTCACTCTGTCTCACGGCAAAATTTCCGTTTGAGGTTTATGCATTCATAATTCGCTGCGATATATATGTGCATAAACTACAGGGTGCGCCTTCTTTTATGGTCATCTATAATACTTTTAATAATTAAAACAAGAAAACAATTTTATACCATATTAATGCTATTGTCATTACATTTGATCCGTTGCAATTTATTTTGAACTATATTTTGAATACTTATTCAATATTTCCAAACCAATATATTTAAGTTGGCGCACCCTGTATCATTGTCATGGCTCTTTTTCTCACAAATAAATAAATATTACTTTCGTAAGTGTGGACATCAAACACAATCGAAGATTGTGGCTAATTAATTAAGTTCAACTAACTTTGATTAATTGGAAAATGGTGCTACAAGTGCAAGCGTGTCAATTTTTATAAACACACTGTTTATAAATACACTGCCGGTCAACTGTATAAGTGCAACTCAGTCTCAAATATTATAAAAAAAAATTAAAAAAACATTTAAGAAATAAAAACGTTTTTTTACAGCTTTGGTTATTTTAACAACAATTTAACAAAAAATATAATAATAACAACAATTTTATCTCTTAATGACTTACAATATTTGTTTATCTAAACTGTAATATTAGACTCTAAACGTCATGAAATTGCGTCCCTCGTACATTATGTTTCAAAATAACCTCCCCCATGTTTTTACGATCATTTTAAGATCAGATGAGTATAGTAATCAGTTGATCACTTTCAATATTTTGGCACTTGATCTACTATTTAAGGGCCCAAACGTTATTTATGGAAACCTAATATTTTTGAGACAACCATGAAATCGATCTAAGAATATTTGAAAACTTTAGGGAACACATAATTCGTTTCGTAGGTCCTTGGCTAGGTTAGTGATAGTTGTAATGGTCGGATCCACCCTAATTGCACTGTTTTACATAGTGAAGAATACTTTCTAACATAATTTTGCACAGGACATGTAATTTATGACTAAAATTTTACCTGGTTCACCGCGGTTGTACATTTTTACATCGGAAAATATTACTTTCGAGGATGATTGGATTCAAGTCATGCAATTTTTCTATAAACGAGCTCGAGTTCTTCTAGGTTAAACTTTCTACTTTTACTTTTTACATTCCCTGTTCCAGATCTTATTATTCCTGACAATAGTTGGTCGAATATTTCCAGGTTGAACTCTTTTCTATACTCTTTGTCATACTTTGGTCCAAGTTTTATGCTTTCTGGCAAAAGTTGGTCGTGTTTCTGTACTTTGTTTACTTCGGAAAAAACTAATTGCTGTCATTTTTGTCGCCAATTATATGATTTTTAGCAAATTTGTTCAGTTTAAACTCTTTTTACTATTAAAAAGACTACTTTCTACCATTCCTTGTCCCAGATCACGTGATTTCTGACAAAAGTTGGTCGGGTCCATCCAGAATTAATTTTTTTATTTACAATCTACTTTTTGCAATTCTCTGGAACAGATTCCAAGTTTTCCTTGTCATTTCTTGTCCCAGATCACGTAATTTCGGACAAAAGTTTATCGGATTCATAAAGATTGAACTCTTTTAGTTTACGGGAAAAACTACTTTCTGTCATTTTTTGCTCCCAGTCGTGTAATTTCTGGTGAAAGTTGGTCAGGCCTCTCTGAATTAAACTTTTTATGTTTCGGAAAAATCTACTCTCCACAATTCTTTAGCCCATTTCATGTGAGATCAAGTTCTATTTAATCTCCAGGAAACCGTACTTTCTACAATTTTTTGTCTCTGCTCTCATGATTTCTGACAAATGTTGATCGGGTTCACCTAGATTGAACTTTTGTGGTTCAGAAAAATTTACTTTTTGTTAGTCCCTGGAAGAGGACTTTGTTTTCTGGCTTAAACTTTTCATATTTCGAAAAAAAACTAGTTTGTACAATTCTCTAGCCCAGTTCATGTGAGGTCAAGTATGATTTAACCTTCAGGAAACCCTACTTTCTGCCATTTTTTGTCCCTTATCACGTGATTTCTGACAAACTTTTTTGATTCAGAAAAATCTACTTTTTGTCATTCCTTAGAACAGGTTCTGTATTATCTGGCAAAAGTTGGTGGGGCTCCTCTAGGCTGTTCTTTTTTATTATACTTCAAAAAAACTTCTGGTAGTAAGTTACTTCTTTCCACTAGGTGTGTTGGAAAATTCTTTGAACCTACTCAGCTGCGCGGCAGTATATTTAATTTACGAGTTTCGACGCGCCGGAGAAAAAGTGCAAGCAACTCAAGTATGAAGACTGCACAAATCACCGAAGAAAGCAACAAATTTATTATCCGTCGATCTTTCAATTTCTATTTATTTGCGTAAATTATTTTACAACTTTTTTTGCGTTTATTTTTTATGGAATCGTATTGAAGAAAACAAAATGTGTTTGTTTGCACCGTTGGATAACAGAAACATGTCAGCGAATTTGAAAAAGCACTCGCAACAAAACATGAAATGAATACATCAAAGCAGCTATCAGCTACTGAAACTGAAGAACTTCGTGGTGGTTACTTATGGCAATTAAAAGCGCCAATGAATAGTGTGATGAGGGCGATCTTAAAACATGTTCACTTGCAATGTTGGCGCTGATTTCGAACACTACCAAATGGCATGATGGCACGCCAACTCTTTACGAGCGAGTGCCTCGAATGCTGCTAAACGGCGGCGAGACGTCAAAACGCAATTTATAAAAGCTAGCAGCGTGCAGCAAGTTAACGGCAGTTGCATTTAGAATTTGACGTTGCGCTGAAATTGAGCGGAGCTGAGTTATACTGCAGCAGCTGAGCTAGACTGTAAGCTAACAACGTGGATTGGTGAAACGGATTGGCAGGTGAACGAAAGGATACTCGTGGCAACACTTCACACCGCTGCTTAAAAGAATTATACAGGCAGCATGCGGCTCAGCAACACAATCGAGTGGCTGCTCATAGCGATTGCGATCAGTTTAATACTGGATACAGCCACAGCACGACATCACCATCACCCGCTGACGCAACAGCGCCGCAACCACAATCAGCCACAGCAAACGCAAATCAAACATACACAATTTGCGCAGCGTCAAGGTCGTGCCGCTACCGCCAACAGTTGGTTTGGGCCGGAATTTATGATAGCGCGACGCGTTTATGAAGATTGTCAGGAGAAGAATGATTTCATCGGTTGTCTCAAACAAAAGGCACTGACTGCGCTTTCGCGTGCGCTCGAACAGGATTCCATCAAAATTGTTGACGGTCTTGTTTTGGAGAAGCAGAATAGCACTGAGAAAGAAAGTATTCTCAGTTCGATAGCTGACGGACGTGCGCTCAGCTCACTAAGTTCCATCGATCGTGCATTGCTTGCCAAAATTGACAAGTTGATGCGTACGCATGCGTTAAAAATGGATATGAGTCAAGGACGTGGGCATGGCGATGACGACGATAATGGTGGCCATAGCCAGAAGAATAAGAATAAGGACGGTGGTCATATGAAATATGTAATTGCGGCATTACTCACCGCCATGGGCATTGCCGGACCCATTGGTTTGAAGGCGTTGGCAGCGATCGCAACAAAAGCTTTGGTCATTAGCAAAGTGGCGCTGACAATTGCCGGTATTATTGCGCTAAAGAAATTATTCTCACACGATCATCAAGAAGAGTCGAGCTTTCAGGTACATGCCGGCGATCATAATCGGTAAGTGCTGGAAAACATACAAATAATTTTTTATATACTATATATATTAATATTTATTTTTAATATGCAAACAGACGTAGCACGTACTTGATACGTCCGGTGAACAAACCGCATCAGCCGACAGCATCTGGCGGTGTTAGTCAATATTCAGATCCATATCGTTACTACTATGAATATCATTAATTGTTACATATATATATATTTTATTTATATAATCAACTGTTTATATAATCAGATGTTAAATATAAGTTTTCATTCGAAAAAAATACAAGCAGCTAAAACACCAAATAAATACTTCTCATAGGTGCATTTCTTATAGCATAAAGGATATAAAAACAACTTTACCTTCATTTTGATCGGTCAGTTTGTATGGCAGCTATATGCTATAGTGGTGTGTTGGCAGAAAAGGACGTGTGTATTAAAAATAAGGGATTATTTCGAGTATATACATACATATATAGGGTCTCCGAACTTTAATTATAAAAATCCAATATTTTTTCAATACCACTTAATCTAAATTTCAAATAATTTGTAGTAGAACGTGCAGCCCTACTTACTTCTCGTTTTCTTGCATTCTCATCAGTTTCCGTTTTGTTTTCTCGACGAGTTGACTGGTCGTTTAGCGCCGCGAAATTAGAAAGTGCATTTGTGTGTTAATACTTTAAAAAATTAAATGCAAAAAACAGTGTACATTATACTCAAATATTGTACGACAATAAAAGGCTCAATGAGCATAATTTTTTGATATTCTGTAGTCCTTGCGGCATGCATAAGAAACTAACTAAAGTTTTCGTCGTCCGTACTTCAAAACAGGGTGAATGAATGTTTAAAAATTGTTTCAACAATATTAACTAATTTAGTTTGTGATATTTTATACAAACTAAATACGAAATATATACAAAAAAATACGATAAATTACAATAGACTTATGTAAAAGTTAAGTAAAAAATTAATACAGTGTGCGAATTGAAATACACAAAAATTTGAAATCGCAACATAGTTTTTTCATTATTTGCACTCAAATTCTTAGCACAGACAGCAACCCTATTTCCTCTTTTGCTTTTACGCATTCTCGTCAGTATCCGTTCTGTTTCCCGACGAGTTGAGTATCCGTTAACCAATGCGATGTAACAAAGCAAAGTTTAATGTTTTATAAAATTAACTTTATAGTAGTTAAATTTCATACATAACAAAATACAAATAACGCGCAATATGTACTAAAGCTATGAATGTGTTGTACAAGCATTTCTATAGATTTGCAATTAATACACTTCGAACGCTATTCGTCGTCGTGCGGGAGTAATCGTGATGTGCAGTGAGCAAGATTTGACATGCATAAACTTACGATGAAGTGCATTGGTGCCTTAAATTATTTAAATATTTTCGTAATGTGTGTTTAAAATATTGTGTTTAATTTAATTAATTTTGTACCTCTAAAATCAAAATTAACCAATTACTAGCAACTTGTAATACATATAAAATGTAACATCGTGATAGTAGAAAATCATATTAACACATTCAAAACGAATATGCTTATTTAAGCGCCATTAAACGTTGTTCGGTAGTAATCGTGAAGTGTAACGGGCAAGCTACGACTGCGATAGTTAAGTGTGAAATCAAATTTTAACCAAATATTGTGAAAATATTTTACTATTGTATGTCTATAACGCCTATTTTCAAGCTATAAGTCGCTATATGGAACATATATTATACAGTTATAAATATTACATGCACATAAGTTTAAGTGGAAAGCAAGGAAGTAAAAATTTCGCGAACTGCCATTTGCAATGTGACAACGAAAATCTGCCGTTATCCGAAAAATGTGTATGCACTTTTAATAACTAGCATAAAATCATTACAAAGTGCCATAGAAGTGTTTCTTATTGTTTGTTAAGCAAATTAACAATTTTTAATAGATATTATTAATAATTATGTGTAAATTAGTGAAGTGAAATGTGATACAAATTTATTGCTCGCAGAAGTACAACAAATAAATTACTAAGCTGTAGTTGTTAACATGTTAATTAAACATCCCATAATATATTAAAAATGACACCATTCTGGCTCAATAGAAGAATCAGTGGCAATTAGCTGGTAAGTTTAAACAATGTAAACTTTTAAAACAATTATGGTAGGAGCACGCGCAGCTCCTTAGCAAAGTTGAGCATTCACCATTGTGTTATAATATTATTTCCAACTTGCGATTTTCTATTTTATCTTTCATTTATTTAAACATAATCAGTTTAATGATTTCATGTTTATTTTATACAAAATTATGACTTTTATTTTCAGTAAAATAGCTTAAAATGTAGTACCTTCAACAATGCCAATTTTTATGATTTTATTCTTATTAAACTTTTCACATAGATATAGAAATGTTTCTTACGATTTTTAAGCCTATGGGCTTTGTTCAATTTGTACATATCATACGCACACCAGCCTTTGCTATAAAATAATAATAGAAAAAATAAACAAAACAATACTCATAGGTGATTATAACGTTTGCCGAAGAAATACTAATTAAAAGATATGTAAAGAATAGGTGTGCAAAAATCTATCTTTTGAGAATTAAAGTTTTCCTAAACTTGGCACTAATTCGTTTGAGCCCTAATTAATAATTGCATTAAACTTAAATATAGATGATGTTAATTTAAGAATGAATAATATTAAAATACAACTGTATATTGAGTTATGCGTAGTTACAACTTGCACATGAAACTAAATTTAGTTCATGTTTTGTCGAACAGTTGCATTCTGCATAACGAACTACAATAAATTAAATTTATATTAAAATATAATTCATTAAAACATTTTTTTTCTACTAATGTACTCAATTTATACGTAAATTATTTAGTTCTTTGAATTGAAAAAATAATAATCATCATCTTCGACCGTCACACATTCCACGCTATCGCCATTGCCGCTGCCACCACCTACACCAACATCGCTCGCCACCGCATTCTCTAGATTTCATCCGGTTACCTCTTCATTGGCAAAATCCAATTTGACCACATCAGCGGGTAGGCATTCTTCTTCGTGTTCCTGTGTGTTGATACGATTCAGTGTCATCATCACATCTGGACCCGATTTCAGAGCTATAGAAGTTGTAGTTTGCGGTGCGGTAGTCGTTACAGCCACACCACTTACGCCAACTGTAGCTGGCACCATAACTGTCGACGGCGCCACAGCAGTTATGGCAGTAGCGCTACTAGCAACCGTTAAAGCTTGTTGTTGGGACGTTGTTTGCTGCTGCTGCTGCTGCGCTGACTGTTGTTGTACGGTTTGTACCACCTGCGCCATTTGCGTCGACGTAGCAGGTTGTAAAACCACATTCTCCGTCACAGTAGCCATTGTAGATCCTGCTGATACGGCCAACAATGCTTTTTGTTGCTGTTGCAATTGTTGGAATTGCTGCAACGTCACTGTGGTAGTCTGTGGTTGTTGTATAATTTGTGTTGCTGCGCTGGTTTGTTGTATGATAATTTGTTTGGGTGAAGTCTGCAACGATTGTGGCGCAGTTAGTGTTGGTTGAGGATGATGTTGCTGCTGTGACACCTGTGTGGCCTGCACCGGCAATATACGTTGAACGTGCTGAATATGCACTGTTTGTGGTGTGCCTGGCTGGGTCTGTTGTGTTTGATGATGCTGCTGCTGCTGTTGTTGTTGTTGAGTTATTACATTTACATTTTGGTTCTGTTGCTGTATTGTATTCAATTGTATTGTTTGCTGTTTGACAACATGCGTTTGTTGTGTTGGCAATTGTTGCACGGTCTGTATGACATGTTGTACTTGCTGCACAGGCACCTGTTTGGCTGGTATACCGGCATCTTCGAAAGCCTTCTTCTTGAGTGCTTGTCGTATTTGAGAACTATTTGAAAGAAAATACAGTTTTTAGAATTTTCTTTTTTTATTTCTGATTGTTAATGCCCTCTCGCTACATCCTTACTAAGATACAAATTTTTGAAAAATTACTCATTTTATATTTTAAAACTTACACTGTCCTATTTTTAATGCTTGAGCTTATTTTATTCAAATCATCCGAAAAACGTAGTATGGATGAGTGTAGCATGTTTATCTCCTCTTCGGTCCACTTGCTGTATGTGGTGTAGAAATTATATTAAAAGAACGCGATTTTTTTTGTTGGTAATTAAAGATGGACATGGAATATAGCGAGAGAACAAAGCGAATATTAGCATATTTATAATTTTTTATGCATGGAAATTCTACTGGGACGAAATTTGGTGACGGGAAACTAATTCTTATAAAAGTAAATTTGTTTACACTAATTATGAATGAGTTCTTCAAGGAACTATATATATATTACTGACAAATGCGTTATTATTTACTATGAAAAATGCACGTAATTGTAATAAAAGCAGCTTTTAACTGTGCACTTGCCTAAACTTTTTTAGTGATATTTTTTGTGGAATGTTTTGCAAATTCACATACATATTTATTCAGCTGGAGTGTGCATAAAAATTTTTACAAAGAGCATATTAATATTGCTTACATATATTCACATCACTTAAATATTTATTCTTGCTATCCGCAATTACATAAAATAACTACGACATTTTACAATAAAACACAAAAAATAATTTCTTGCAATTTAACAACACACTTACCCTGATGGCGATTCGGCATTTGGATGCAATTGCATTGTTAAATCTCCTAAACGACTAAAAGCTTGGCCAGCGGCTGTAAATATTTCGCCAACCTGTAAGTAATTTACAAGTTTAATACTCCAAATGGTATAAGCGACCCACTAACGGGTCCCCAGCGTTGAGGTGCGGCGTCGAGGGTCAATTGTTTAGAAGCACACTTCAAAACAAAAACCGAAATAAATACTGTCCGTCCACGAAAACATCTCTGCACACCTCGGCACGTATGAATCTATTAACTCATGAGCAAAATACGCGCGCCGAAAACCAACCAAAGGAAGCTATGCCGCCTAATTGTGGCACAATATTAAAAGTCGCTACAAATTTGGTATTGCAAGCCGACCTACAACGCTGGAAAGAACCGCACAATTTTTTAATTTACTCACTTTCGTTGCCGAATTCATGGTGTATCCTTAACTTAATTTCTATGTATTATTTGTGAAAACAAAAACGTTCGCTTGAAATTTTTTTGTGAAGCAATTGCTGCTGTCAAAATTTGGCAAAAACCAAACGTCAAATTGCGAGGGAGTCACGTAAGCTATTCAGCTAATTGGCGTCAGGCGACATCTGTTGATTTGCTGTGGCAACAGTATTGAATTTTATAAATAATTGCAAGCATTTTTAAGTTAATACGCTTAATTATATTTTTATTTTTT